ATTTGACTGCACAGATGAATGTAATAAAGGAAAAGACAACACCTCCTCCAGCATTTGCTTTTGATGTGAAGGAAGTGGCAAATCTTTTTAGACACACCGAGGCAAAAAGCCCTGGACCTGACAACATCTGTGGCCGGCTTTTAAAAACATCTTTCACTATATCTTCACACAATCTGTTAACCTGCAGAAAGTGACTAAACTTTGGAAAAAGTCCATTATTGTTCCTGTTGCTAAAATGAGCAACCTGAAAACACTGAATGATTTCAGGCCTGTAGCGCTGACTTCTCTACTGATGAAGACATTAGAAAAAATTGTCAGGACTCAAATTTTAATGCAGGTTGAAGAACACCTAGATCCTCTTCAATTTGTGTACAGAGCTGGTAGAGGTGTGGAGGATGCTGTCACCACATTGTTACACTATTTGTAGAAGCATCTTGAGGGCCCTAAGACACATGCCAGACTCCTGTTCATTGACTTCAGCATTTAACTCCACACAGCTGATTTTGCTTCTGAAAGGTTAATCCATCACTTTAAACTTGAGCCTAGCTTGATTGGATGGGTTGTAGATTTTCTGAGGTGGCAGTGAGTGAAAGTAAATGGTGTTTTTTCTAACCAGCTCTCTTCTTCCACTGGGTCTCCTCAGGGTTGTTGTCTGTCACCCCTTCTGTACATTATGTACACTAATGAGTGTCACAGCAATCACAGTAATAGACACCTTCTTCAATTTGCTGATGACACTGTTGTTGTCAGCCTTCTTGAGGGGGGAGAGCAGAGGGGAGAGCAGGGCCTTCTTGAGGGGGGGAGAGCAGGGTCTTCTTGAGGGGGGAGAGCAGGGTCATGATGACTCTGTTTTATAAAAGTTTGATTGACTCTGTTTTAAATGTTTGCATCGCTGCATGGTATGGAAGCCTGAACTCAAACAAGAACAGACTTGGGAGACTTGTAAAAACAAGCAGCAGAATCTCAGGGAGGTGTCAGGTTGGACTTTTGACCATTTATAATCAGCAGGTCCTGAGGAAAGCTAGGGCCATACTTGTGATCCCAGATCACCCACTTCACAGTGAGTTTGACCTTTGACCCTCAGGTCGTCGTTTTAGAGCTCCTGTGAGGAAGACTAAAAGACTCCAGGTCTCATTTTTACCAAGTGCAATTAATCTGTTAAACAACAATTAGCTATTTGTTGCTCTTTTTGCACTTGAACTGCACATTTGCACACCTCCACTTTGCACTTTAAGAACTTGAATTTCCATTCTGGTCCGGGCTCTTGACTGATTATATTGCGCTGTTTTAATTTGGTTTTATATTTTGCTGTGTTGTCTGATTTCTTTTTTTTTCCTTTCTGAAAAAAAAAAAATCTGAATCTGAATCTGAATCTGAATCTGAATCAGATAAGGGTATGATTATGTATACAGCACACAGCATAAGGCCACAAAACACATGTATCTGTGAGTTATTATTTATCTTTTATACAGTTGGTACATAAACTTTTAAAAGACGGAAATTATACCCTGGAAGGGCAATGTATCCTCGGAGATGCACACTGTAAATTATAAAAACTGTAAACAAAAATCAGGAAACTGTTACTTGTCCTAGATACAATAGAGAACAGCAATTAATCAATATTTCAAAATATTTATACATGTCTGCCAATTGAAGGAACCCTTAAGGCCATGGGTCCCTATAAAAAGGAGTAAAAATCCAACTTGTGTCCCCATATTGTAGGTGTACAAACCATGTGTAAAGCCTCATCACAGACCATCTCTCCAACCACAAATGGGAAAAAATAACGCATAAAAAGATTGAGTTGATTGTCCGTGTGGCCGTTTTTCTCTAACTTACTTATAACAACTGAGAAAACCTGAAAAATCTATAACAATAAAACCTTCACTTGAAAGAAAATGTCAACCTTCATAATGACCCTGTAAACCTGTGGGTCCCTGTCAGTGTGGTTTAAATCAGGTCTATGTCCCCACATTGTAGGTTTCCAAATTGCACACTTTTTTAAATATTTTGTTTTCGTACATTTCAAGCCAAACAATACTTCATTTTAATAAAAAATATTTTTAACAACAACAAAACTAATTTTCAGTTTCACTCCATCCCAAACCCAGTGTAAAGCAATATATCCCAATTTCTTATATTCAATTAGAGTCAAATGAAAGAAGAGAAAGGAAAACAACAGTAAGAAAACGTGTTAAAGAAATACCTCTTAAAACGCTTTCAAAGTACCTTTATTCAGGCTTATTAAATGTTCTCAGTAGCCTCATTTACTGTAAGTTGTGAACTAAATGCTGAATTTGTGGGCAAGCAATCGATGGCGTGATTGATATCCTTATCGGCTCAAGTGAGGCAATGAGTCATTGTTGGTTTTAGCTTAACCCAGGCAGTCCTGCGATGGACTGTAGTCTCTGTATTTGAGAATCGAGGACAGGCAAGGGCAGGTCAACAAATCTGTTGATGTTTGATACACAAACCAGTGTCCTTAGAAGTCCTACAAACACAGGATATCATCAAATCTCCTTTAAACCTATTGTGTAAATAACAGAAATGTCTGAACACATGTAGCTTTTTTTTTATTGCTCCTTTTTACCCCAGCCTGTTAAACTACTATATAACGAAGGAGTATTATGGCCACATTAAGGTTTTTTTTTTCAGATATTGTGATTAAAGTCTTAAATATACAAGAATAAATGTACAATATGTGGAATTTTATGACAATCTTTAAATTGAAATATTACAAATTTATTAAAAATGGACTAAAACAATGTTAGATTTTTTTTTGTTGAGTAATTAGACTACCTCAAATATTTCCAACAGTTATCAAAGCCAGAGAAATCTGAACTTCCTTGCCGCTGAGGTGGAGGTCGGAGCAGTGTGTGCATGAATGAGGTGGTTGTGGGGATGACACAGTCCGATGGTGGTGGCTGGGCATCGGGAGGTGGCTGGGAAGACACAGTCTGATGGTGATGGTAGGGAAGACACAGTCTGATGGTGATGGTTGGGAAGAAACAGTCTTATGGTGGTGACTGGGTTACTGGGTGTCAGGCGGTAGTTGGGAAGACACAGTCCAGTGGTGGTGGCTGGGCTCCACGCGTTGGTTGTGGGGACGTCTTTAAGTGCTAAGTCTGGCTGTGTTGTCATATTTTATAATGTTGTGTCTGTTACATTTTTGATTTTACCTGAGAAGGAAGAAGTTTTAAAAAGAACGTTTAGTCTTCCAAATGTCACTAAAATGAAACACTACCGGTACAAAAACGGGCGTTAATGGGCTAACTTACATATTGGCATCACCAACAGGCTAACCTGCTCTTTTTGAGAGATCAATCAGGTTGTATTTTTAACTAATGAGGCAGAGTATTCCTTATACATATAACAAATATCTGTGAGGAAATTTTAATTCAAAACATTTACACATTTCAGCGAAAACTGGTAATATAAAGGCTTTGACATTTTATTCAGGTATATTCCAGTTTCTAAATAAAACACAATTTGCAATTTATGGCCTGAATGACAAATTTAGGGGCTGATCGATGACATGTTGGATTTTATAGCATTATTGGTAGAGATGACACTATCAGTCAGTGTTGGTTTTAGCTGGAATGAGACCGTCCTGTGATTATCTGTATCATCTGTGTATTTGTGCATCTTTGGCAGCCAAGAACAAATCACATAATCTGTGATGTTTGATGCACAAAAAGAACAGTGTCCTTAGGAAATCTTTAAAGCCCAGAACAAACTGATATGACCGTTGAACCCACAGTGAGAAAATGTTGAGTTCAAACATTGCTTTCCCAACTTTGGACAAAAAATGCACATGCACATGCACACGCACTATAAAGGTCAGAACACGTAGAGGCCTAAGCTTCTGTGGTATAACTCCTGTGTCATCCTGGGTCAATCGATACATCTATTCAATTCTTACATATCTTATGAAGTAAAAGTATGTTTTAAGAGGAGATGGCTGCAAGCAAGATTTCCCTAATTCAACAAATTATAATTGCTCATAGTGTCAAGCCTTTTTCCATAGATTATAAAAACTAAAAAGAGATGTAAATACTGTTGACCTTGCTAGCTTGCTATTTAGGGTTTGCTAGATGATGGAAAAGGATGAGTCCCCTTACTTGAGATTCATAAATTATATTGCAAATGTCTCAAAGGAATCATGCTTCTACTTTAAGGGATAATTCTGCTTGTGTTGTAGCACATGGTGATATTGGATCTCTTACACCTTTTATCTGAGCAGAAAGGAGTTTTGAAGACAGCATAAGCATTTCTTTAATATCAAACATAACCTGTTGAACAAATGCTGACCTAAATGCTGTGGACCTTGCTAGCTTAATATCAAGTATCTGTGAGCGGATGAGTCTTATTGTACAAATATTGTCTGTGAGTAAATTGAAGGAAAGCAATAGAAAGAGTGACATGTTATGGCGTGAAGATGATCTATATGAGCTAAAAAGAGTGAAATCAATGATGATGATATAATGCTAGAATTAAAGGTTGGTCAGCTAATGAGCTGATAATGATTAGTTTGCTACTGATTACCTGATAAAGTTGTGGCTTTTACCTTTTTTGATCTCAGCAGTTCAAGATTATTGTTTTGTGTGATATATACTATGCAGTCTGTGCAGTTATGCGTTGTGGACAGCAAAGAGCAAGTCAATAAATCTGTAAATGTTTGATGTACAAATGATCAGTGTCCTTAGAAACCCTATAAACACAGGACACCATAATATCTCGTCTTAAATGACAGTCGGACAAGGGTGGAGTCAAATATTGTGTGCCCAACTCCAGGAAAAAAATTTAAATGATTTACTATACATTCATATTATATATTATGAATAGTCCAAAAAGCCAGGACACTTGGAACTCTGCCATGATTAGATTCTATAAAGGCTGAATGTCTCTGTGAGGCTCCGTCATTCAGCTTTGTCAGAGAAAAGCTTCCTGCTTGGTGTTTTCTTCCATACATTGCTAACAAGCTAACCATCCGTAGCATCATGAATCTGTTGTTCAGTAGTCTTTTCCTGGTGGCTGGGTTGTTCCTGAGCAGCTCGGCTCTGTCAGTTGAAGAATGCAGACCTCTGATCACACCTCTTCCAAGATTTGAACCGGTAAGCTTCCTCTGCTGGGTCTGTAGGTTAGCATTAGCATTCAGGATTTTTAGCAGTACACATCTTTTTTGAACCTTTAGTCCTCATTTGATTGATTTCTTTCCTTATCATTAGTATTCAGTTTGAGCTACACCTTAGCATTAGAAGACAAATTGGCCACAACTTTTGAGAAGCCAGGAAAATTAATTTTGTCACTCAGTGAAGAAGAAAAAGAGAACTCATTCTAACATGACTCTCAGAGCACAATGTTTAAATGAGATCAAAAACCTGGGCCTCAGAGATACTTTCGCCCTAAAATTAAACTTTCAGATGGATACATAGTCATTTCTCTATGGTAAGTAAGAACCTGGGAATTTGTACATCAGATATGATTGACTAAGCCTCATACAGAACTTGTTTCCCTATGATTATTCCAATCTACTGTATGTGTTGAACCAGGCTTTATATGTCTGAATGAATTGACTCAATTTTTAATTTTAAAAGTGTAATTCTAAGGTTACACATATAATAGAGCCTTTTTTCCCTTCCACAATGTTTTTTAGAAAGTTTTTCTCATTGTGGTTTTAATACTTGGTACTTTTCCTGTGCAATACCTAAGTTTAACAACTCTTAGCTCTCAAAATCTGATGTTTTGCCAAATTTTAAGACAAGTTTAGGCCTAATTAAAAAAAGGCTAAAATAATGTAAAAAGTTGAATCCTATAAAACCATAAGAATTAGCTGAAAAGAATACAAACTTGACCCAACAATTGAGACTTGATAAAGGTGTGTGCAAAAATGCAATTTACAATCAGCCTTTGGCTCTGCTTGCATTACAGCAGACATTTGAGTCTAACTCATTAACTTTACATTTATCTGCAGAGTTACGGAAGGTGGATCTTTATCTTGGGTTACATTACTAGTGAACCACACAGAGTCTTGTTCAAGACAACCAAGAGCCAGTGGGTTGACTTCATTCAGACGTCACCTGACCACAAGGAATTCGTTCAGGATATCGGGATCAGGCAGTGAGTATTAATCAGTGCGCGATCAGCTGTACAAATATATAACATATACAACTTATTAAACAAAGGTGGTTATGTTTTATTGTCTGTTTGCTACTCCATGCTAAATTCTTAGTCATCCAACCCTGATCAACCGTTATGCAGATGACACAATTTTATTCTTCTTAAACGCTTAATACTCTTGATACTCTACCATAACAAAAAACACTAAGGATGCACATCAGATCCCCTTTTGCTAGGCTAGAATAGTTACTTCTACAGTGGAGGTTTCAGTCCAAGCATGGCATGTATGCAGCTTGAAATTCATACCATTTTTTAAACATAGATTGCAAAGAGAACAGTAGCCTGGTTTAAGGCACAAGTTAACAGGTCACAGACACAACATGACTATGATAAGATAAATGCAATGTATTAAATTATTTTTTGTTCCATCTAGATTTCGTGGTGTTAGTTGATAGTAGGCACCATCTTTGTTACACCATTTTTTTATATTCCAGCTCTGAACAAGGCTTTTCCTACATGTTCTCTTCAACCCTTCCACTGACATGTCAGAACTAACCATTTCTCTTTTATTTCTTATCAGTCCTACATATTGCAAGTTTGGATCACACCCTGTAACTATTCATTCCAACACTGCAGCAACTGACAGTAAGTCACCTGTTCTGATATGACACTGGAGCTTGTCAATGTTAGTTCTGTTAGTCAGTGAATCAGGGTTTGTCAAATTATTCATCTTCATTTCAGCCTAGGAGCTAGCCAAATAGTGTCTACTTCAAATTACAGTGCTTTTGTTTTAATCTTTTACTTTCCAGAGTCCAACTTCACCTGCACATACCATTCCCTGCCAACCTGTGAGGGATGTCTGCTCTACACCGTGGACAGCAGAACCAACAATCAATTAATCCACATTATGAATATCGACGAACCTAAGACCATTGCAGAGGTCAAAAGCTATCGGGCTTTTTACCTGATGGGTAAGAAGAACAAGAGAGAAAAAAACAGTTTGTAGTCCGAAAAATGTCTTAATCATAATTGAATTACATTTCTGTTTCCAGCCAAAGAGTCGACTATCAAGCACCACGAGCTGGCACATGCCATGAAGCAGGCCAAGTGTCTTGGTTTCACTGGAGAACCAGACTTCATCTACGACCCCAAAGACAGTACGTTACCTACATACTTATCTGATTGATGACATAGAGAGGAGTGATTTCTGACAAAACTGAATTATTTCTCTCTCTTTCTCTTTGCAGCTCTCTGTGACAAAGACGAACAGTAAGCTGAAGAAAAGTGAAGGCGATATTCAGCTGAAGTACTAACCATCCCTGAGAAATATGTTTAACAGAAATGGGGGATGTAAATAAATAAATGTGGAAAAAAAAACAATAAAGGTGTGAATTTATTTCCATTCAAATAAATACAGAGGTTGGCGATGGATTGGCTCTTCTATTGAAAGGGGCCAAAAAATGAAGAATAAGAAGACAGGGCCAATTGAAAAGAGTGGGTAATTCCTCAGTGTTTAAGGATGGCATAGGGGATTCAATTTGGAAAGTGGTTGATGTTCCTAACGCAGCAGAAAACTGGCTGAGGATTTGTCAGGGCAGAGGGAGACAGTAGTGGATTGAACACAATTACTTCAAGATTTGATACATGGGTGGGTTAAAAAGCTTTTGGGGTATGAAAGCTCGCAACAGGTCTGGAGACAAATCCATGACCAGTGGATCAGGGTTATGCTTAAGATAAGATAAGATAAGATAATCCTTTATTGATCCCCAGTGGGGAAATTCAAGTGCTGCAGCAGTAAAAGACAACAAGAAGAACATGCATATTAATATTAATACAATTAGAATATATTGGAATAAAATAAAAGTAAAGATAAAGTAACTACGTATTTACAACTATAATAAGCAAAATGTCTGTCAGTAATTAAGAAGACAGACTATAGGAACCACTGCTGTTGTACAGTCTGATGGCAGTAGGCACAAACGAGCGCCTGAAGCGCTCAGTTTTGAACCTGGGGGGGGATGTGAGGATGGCTGAAGGAACTTCCCAGCTGCCATGGCTCATCATGGAGAGGGTGAGAGGAGTTGTCCAGGATGGCTGTGATTTTGTCCCTCATCCTCCTCTCAGCCACCATCTCCACTGTCCAGGCCAACAAGCGAGCGTGCTTTCCTCACCAGCTTGTTGAACCTGCTGACCTCACCAGTTTTACTGCCACCCCACCAGCACACCACAGCAAAGAAGAGTGCACTGGCCACCACAGACTGGTAGAAGGTCTTCAGGAGTCTTTTGCAGACACTGAACGATTTGACTCTCCTCAGGCAGGGACAGCCTGCTTTGTCCCTTCCTGAAGTTACTGAGCTATCAGTGGCCCATGATTTGACCAATTATATTAGCTTTGATCTTTTGTCAAATGTATTTTTTATTTTCCCTGTCAGCTCCAACTGAGGTTTTTTTTTTTAGTTTCTAGAAATTTGAGTGGGTTACGTAAATCAAAATCAGAATGGAATTGCATTCACTGTCATTTTAAGCTCTGTTCCCAACAACCATGAATCAGTAATAATGAGTCTCTCCGTGGTTTTTGTGTGTGCAAATGGCAATTGGAATCGCTTTCTAATTCTGGAGCATTTACAGTAGTCCCATGAGCACTCTCAGGAAGAGTCTTTGTTGTGTTCTCTTTACAGATGCAGTGGTGTGGACTGACCAGGAGAGGTCCTCAGATATTAGGACATCCTAGAATCTTTAGGCAGTCTACAAAGTCGTGCCAGCCCTTAGGTGGAGGAGAAGGTATACTGACATTGATCGACACTCTGTGCGTAATTTCTATTTCTGGGCAAGTCCTTGATTTAGTTGTATACAGGGGAGGAGAGGCTGAAGTCAAGCAGATTGCTGACTAAAAAGTCTGGAATGATTGTATTAAATGCTTAGCTGAGGTCAATTGAAGATCATCCTCACATAGTTCTCCCAGTGTTCGTGGCTCGGCCCTGTGTGACTTGCAATGCCACTTTACACTTTGAAGCACTTTGAATCGCACTTGTTGCTAAGATACACTAAATAAATAAACTTCCCTTTCCCAGGTCCCCTATACTCAGGTCAACTCGCAGTTTGTTTTCATCGGGGTAGCAGAGAGTCACTCCCGTGATTCCCCGCCAACCTCAATGTCATGTTTTGTTATTGTTTTGATTGAGAGCCTCCCTGGTGGCGAAATTGACATACTTGCTAGTCAAGCTAGCAAGTTCTAGCTAGCTTGACTTTTTCGCCTCTTTTTCTATAAAGCTAACACTAACTACAGTATAGATTGTAGGCCTTGACCATTAGACTTTTATGAGGTCTGCAACAATTTTTATTTGGTTTTTAATGATGCGCTTTTATTTTGTTGGCAAAATGGGTGCAAAGTGTGTGCTCATAAGTAATATGTGGACTTAATATCTGTCAAAAAGGTCACACTGGTGGGGTATAACGGTGGCTGAATGGTTACGGCGCTCTCCTTTATTTCAGAGCTTCACTTAAGTAGGTGTGATATTGGGGGCGCAGATAGCCAAGCGGTTAGGTTAAATTTATATTGAGAAAAATTACATTGTAATAACTGTCGTTCTCGTTTTATTGCCCAGGCCCAAGTTTGAACATCACACAACTATCCTGGAACACCTTCAGAATAAAAGCCTTAAAACAAGTGCATAAACAAGGGCAATTTCTTCACACAAATTCCAGAGCAAGCTTTTAACTTGAAAATCAAACAAGAAGTATAACTGGACTTTTTTCATGCCTGTCACATATTCTACTAATATGTATAGACATATATGTCATACAAGGTTGATATAGCCATCTATATCATTTTGTCCTTTCTGATCAAAACCACGAGGCTAAAAATAACAATAGGCAGGACTTCTAGTCTCTAAATTTTCAGCACAAGACCCACCAAAGACAGACTTGAGACACACAGCTCACACTGGCAGTCTGGAAGCTCTTACTTAACATGCCAAAATGAAAAAAAGGGGCCGCAGTGCAGTCACTAAGACACACGTCAACAAACAACCAATTGGGAAGTGAGCTGACTGAAGAAGGAAGCACAACAGCCGCGGCCAATACTTCTTACTCACCTTCAGCTTGCCCTCTAACATACCCATGGTAATGTCCATGACTCCAGATACAATCATCACCTTTTCTTACCCAACAACCGCCGTAATTATTTACTCTAAAACTGAGTTCCAACATGAGAGATTTTGAGAGATTCTGGACTCTGATTGGCCATGAATATAATCTGTTAGTGTGTGGTGTGCTGTCTTGTCACACTACTGTTTAATCTGTGTTTTTCTACGTGTGTGGTCTCCCACATTTTCTACAATGTGTTTGTTTGAACATTTGTAAAAACCATTAGTGTGGTTTGGATAGCTGCTAATGAGTGGCTTACTAGATGAAGTTGTGTCTGTTTGGTTAATTTTTTTCAACCTAAGAACGACAAAGTTCAATTAGAAGGTTTTTCTTTTTTCATTTATTTCTATTTGTACATTGTGAGTATCCAAGGACAAATCAACACACATTGTAAATGTTTGATGTGCAAACTGAAGTGTCCTTAGAAATCCTACAAACACAGGACACCCCTAGGATCTCCTCTTAGCCTACAGTGAGAGGAGGTACATAGAAGTCCATGTCATTGCCCAACTCTGAGGAAAATAAATAAAAATTCCTATTATATGAAGAGTCCAAAAAGCCTGAACACTTGGAACTCCGCCATAAGCAACTTCTATAAAGGCTGAGTGAATATGTGAGGCTCCATCATTCAGCTTTGTCAGAGAAAAGCTTTTTTGGTGTTCTCTTCCAGTCAAGCTAACCATTTGTAGCATCATGAATCTATTGTTCAGCAGTCTTTTCCTGGTGGCTGGGTTGTTCCTGTGCAGCTCGGCTCAAACAGTTGAGGAATGCAGACCTCTGATAACACCTCTTCCAACTTTTGAACCGGTAAGCCTCTTCTACTTCCCTCCTGGGTCTTTAGGTTAGCATTAGCATGAATGACTTTCAGCAGCTTTTTCAGTTTTGGAAATACTGATGTACTGTATAAGATTGACTACCTTGGACTCAGATACTTTGCCCAAAGATTGACATTTTCAGATGGATTCATTATCCTTTTTCTACAGTGAGTGTGAAGCTGTGGTTTTCAATTTGAATCTATTACTAAATCTTATTCAGCTCTTATTTCTCTCTGATTCAAGTCTACGTGTTAAGCTATGCTAAACATGTGCTCGTTATTACGTAAACGTTTATTTAGAGGCTACACATAAAGGCTTTTTACACTTCCACAACTTTTTCCTGAAAGTTCTACTGGTAAAGGATCTATGTGTTTTTAAGAATATGTTACTGTTTCCTGTATATTACTTACGTTTAAGTAACTGCAAACTACCTGCTCAATTAAAAAAACAAAATTGAGGAATCTAAATATGATGTTCTGCCAAACTTTTAGAAGATATTTGGCCTTGTTTATAATGGCTAGGGTAATATTGAAGATGAATATATGATTTGAATCATGAGCTGAAATATTACAATCTTGAGTCAGCTTTTGATACCCAGTTCTACGCCTGATAAAGGTTTGTACCTTATTGAATTTATGTTTGTCGGCAGAGTTACGGAAAGTGGATCTTCATCATGGGCTGGATTACTAGTGAACCACATAGAGCATTGTTCAAGACAACCAAAAGCCAGTGGATTGACTTCATTAAGACATCACCAAATGACAAGCAATTTGTTCAGGATATTGGGATCAGGCAGTGAGTATCAGCAGTGCAAATATATCATATATTCATGTAAATAGATAAACATAGAGGAAAGAATCCCCCTAAAATACATTTAACAAACGTTGGTTACATTTTTGTGTCTATACTACTCCATGCTAAATTCTTAATCATCCCAACCAGATTAACTGCTCTACAGATGTTACTTAACAACACCTGAGATACATCCTTTAAGGCACATCAATTTACCTTTTGCCATGCTAGCTCAGGAATTACTTACATGGAGATTTCCATCCAAGCATGGCATGTTTGCTGCTTAAAATTCTGATATTTTTTTTAGACAATCTTTCAATAAACTGTATGTCTTAGATTTCAACTAGAACTAAACAATAGGCCTATATTAAGCAGCTAACATGCTTTCTTCTTTGGGTTCTTCTACAAGCCTTAATGGCTTCATGCATGCTCTCTTGCTAGAAGACTGAGGCATAAGCTAACAGGTCACATGTACAACATCACTTTGATGAGAACACAATTGTTGGAAGATAGATTTGTACAAACTCACTATTGTTACTTCAAGTTCTCCTGCTGTTTGTTAAAAGTATGCACACCCTGCGTTACACTCTCTTTTGACAGTTCCAGTCTTGAACAGGTTTGTTTTTTTTGTGTTTAAATATTCTCTTTTCCAATGACATGTCTGAACTTGTCTTTTCTCCTTTATTTCTTCTCAGTCCTACATATTGCAAGTATGGATCACACCCTGTAACTGTTCATTCCAACCTTGCAGCTACTGACAGTAAGTCACCTGATCTGTTTTGGTTATGGAGCTTGTCAATGTTAGTTCTGTTAATCAGTGAATCTCAGTTTGTCCAAATAAAAGGCACAACAGAGAAACCGCCTCTTTAAACCTATATTTAACCTATACTTATATGTGAGTGGCTATCTCAGTTTGCCGAAATCATTATCTTAGATGAGAGAAACATTTATATAAAACATTCTTTTATAAATAATTATAATAATAAAATCAGTGAATCTGAGTGTGTCCAAACAAAAGTCACAACTGATTCAACAGAGAAAAACAGCCTCTTTTAATCTATATTTACCTTACCTCTGTTTGCCAAAATCATTATCTAAGATAAGAGAGAGAACTCAGGATGTGATGGTTATTATGCCCCAGTAGTCTGGGGGCAATGGATTGGAAACATAAACAAAATATTTATCTGAATTTTGATTCCTGTGTAAGCAAAGGTCAACGGTGACTAATTTACGCCTCAAGAACATTCATGACATTGTTTATCCCAGGACACTCCCACAAATAATTCACCATCAGTCATTTCATGTATCTAACGTCATTATGTCACCTTCCATTGTGCCTCTTGTACAGAACTGGAGTTAAGCCAATAGCTTGCTGATTGTAAGCCGAACAGTGACCTTATTTCCAAATCTAACAAGATAGATTTGGTGCTTCCCCCAATCAAAGTGAGACAATTTCACTGTGTAAAGTGTCATTCTTAAAACATTGTAAAACAGGAAGTAGAGCTCACTTAAAAATGGTTTTCTTTTGCCTTTAAAATTACCCCAATCCAGATCCGTTTTAACCTTGGCATGCAAGGTATTACATGTTGAAAAAAAACCCTGTTTTTCAAAGCTAAGAATTATGAAAACACACTTAACAATTTCCACTAGATGTTCCATGTGTTACAGATCCTGACACCTTAAGTGGGACATAAAGGTCACTGAACAACTGAAGAGCCTGATGATTTAAATGTTTTTGGATGAGATTTTGATTGTCAAAATTACTAATATTATAAAAGCTTTACATTTATAGTTTTGTTTGATTAGCTTGAATATCGTCATCAGATGCTTTTGACCAGGAGGTAACACTGACTTAAATGTGAAAAGTCATAGTATCAACCTTCATTTGAGTCGAGGAAGCAAGCATAACAATGTCTGCTTCGGATGTAAATGTTTTTGATTCTGCTCCAAACCCCATCTCCACCCACCAGAGCGCAGACCAACCCGCTTTTTAGACACTCCATCTGAGTACCCTGAGTACCCTGCCACCCCCCTCAACACTCCATCTGACTACCCTGAGTACCCTGCCACCCCCCTCAACACTCCATCTGACTACCCTGAGTACCCTGCTACCCCCCTCAACAGCCCTCTCCTTCTCTCCTCCTCCTCCTCCTCCGACGGCCTCTCCAAAACAGCTGATCAGGTGAGAAGCCAGCTGAGGAAGATCAAGGCGAGGAAGGCCACAGGTCCCGACGGCATCAGCTCCAGACTCCTGAAGGACTGTGCAGACCAGCTCTGTGAGGTTCTTCTGCACATCTTCAACCTGAGCCTGAGACTGGAGAGGGTATCGACCCTGTGGAAGACTTCTTGCGTGGTGCCAGTCCCGAAGACATCTCACCCCAGGGAGCCTAACCACTTCAGACCTGTGGCCCTCACCTCTCACCTGATGAAGACCATGGAGAGGATCATCCTCAACAACCTCCGCCCCCTGGTGACTTCAAATCTGGATCCTCTGCAGTTCGCCCACCAGCCGAACATCGGGGTGGATGACGCTGTCATCTACCTGCTGCAGAGATCCTGGACTCACCTGGAGAACACCGGCAGCACTGTGAGGGTCTCCAGTGCCTTCAACACCATCCAGCCTGCACTGCTCAGGGGGAAGCTAGAGAGGGCGGGAGTGGACTATCACCTGGCTGCATGGACAACGGACTACCTCACCAACAGACCACAGTACGTAAGGCTTCAGGACTGTGAGTCTGACATGGTGGTCTGCAGGACAGGGGCCCCGCAGGGGACAGTTCTCTCCCCTTTTCTCTTCACCCTGTACACCTCAGACTTCTGTTACAACTCTGGGAGCTGCCACCTGCAGAAGTTCTCCGATGACTCAGCCATCGTGGGGTGTGTGTCTAAGGGGAGCGAACAGGAGTACAGGCAGGTCATCATGGACTTTGTCGACTGGAGTGAGCTCAACCACCTTCAGCTCAACGCCAGCAAGACAAAGGAGATGGTGATTGACTTCCACAGGAAATCACCCCAGACTGCACCGGTGAACATCCAGGACTTGGACATCGAGAGGGTGGAGACGTACAAATACCTGGGTGTTCACCTCAACAACAAACTGGACTGGTCACACAACACCGACGTCCTGTACAAGAAGGGCTAATGTCGACTTCACCTGCTGAGGCGACTGAGGTCCTTTGGAGTGTGCAGGACTCTGCTACGGACTTTTTATGACACTGTGGTGGCGTCTGCACTTTTCTATGCAGTGGTCTGCTGGGGAGGAGGGAGCACAGAGAGAGACAGGAAGAGACTGAACAGACTGGTCAGGAGGGCCAGTTCTGTCTTGGACTGTCCTCTGGACTCTGTAGAGGAGGTGGGTGAGAGGAGGATGTTAGTGAAGCTGACATCCATCATGGACAACCCCTCTCACCCCCTGCATGACACTGTGGGGGCCCTGAGCAGCTCCTTCAGCAGCAGACTCAGACACCCACCCTGCAAGACAGAGCGCTACCGCAGGTCGTTCATCCCATCTGAAGTCAGACTGTTTAATCAGACTGTTTAACAACATCACCACCTCATGCTACAAACTGTGTGTGTTTTGTCAATAACAAGTTACTGTGTAATTTTACATTATTATATTTTTTTACATTATTGTATTTTTTTTATTTAAATGATGTAAATATGTTTGATCTGTTTCTTAACTTCTATTTTTATTTTTAATAAGTATATTCCCATCCCCTGTTTTCTGGAGCTGCTGTAATGCACAAATTTCCCCCACGGGGGATCAATAAAGTTTATCTTTATCTTTATGAAATTAATTGTTACATGTATGCAAGACAAGAATGTACAACTGAAGAAATGCACAAAACATTCTGAATTGAATGAAATATGTTGAATAAAACATCCTCTGATAAAAATGTCTCTTATCTTTTATCTCTTACATGATCTGAGTCACTTTACGATCATCGTTAATGTTTGTGAGCGCTCAGATGCTCGACTCGCTTTAAATGTTGCGGCCGCAAGGAATTGTGGGGCGTCAAATCTCATCTCCTTTCGTAAAGGATGGTCCAGTGTATCCTATGCTAAAGGAGGTTATAAAGGAAGCATTGACCCACCTTTCCTTAACTTTTAGAGAATTCAAATGGCTCTTATCATGGCCGCCACTTAAATGCTTCCGGGGTTAAAGGTGAAGTGGATAGTGAGAGGAGACAGGAGGGACAATTCGGATGCACCCCTTGTCTCACTTCCTCCTTGGGGGAAGACGGGGAGACATCGAGCAGGAGATTGGGGAAAGAGGATATCCCTGATGCGCTGTACCTTTTGGTTGAATTTGCTGTTGTACAAATAAATGTGCTTGTTGAAGCGTACTCCTTCTCTCCTCCAGTTTTTGTCACAGGTGTGTGAGCCGGCCGTGACAACCCTTTTGCGAGTTAGACAAAACAAAATTAGGGTGCAAATGAAGGCTCAAGGGATATGAAAATGCACCTGAGAATATGAACTCCATTTTAAGACCAGCATACTCACGAAGGCCATAGAAGGCCCCATATTTATTTTCTGCTTGTGCAAAGAGTGTGCTGGACATAAGAATGACAGCAGGGCTGGTCAGACAATAGTGCTGCACTGTGGGCCGCTCTGGGCTGAGAGAGGATTGATATAAGACTCCCAGTGGCTCTAAGAGACACATTAGAAGAGTCCACCCAGACCAGACATGCATTTACAAACAAACAACAGTCAGAGTTTGTCAGAGACAACAAGCAGATCAGTACTTGACAGAGATGTGCGCCCTCGTGTGGCCCCTTTAGATAATGACACACACAATTGTCGGGCGGAGATTTTTGGACAAACCAGCCTCAAAGTTCCACAAACAACCCCAAGTCTCTCTGCTGGATTCTGATTATTCTGGAGCATAATGTTACAATACCATACCTGTCTTTTACACACGGGTTAAAATGCTCATTGCTTAGTTTTTGCATTAAAAGTTAATATTTTTCCTCGAGCAGTCTTAACTCTAATATGAACAAACAGACATGAATCACATCACACTTAGTGTGACTTAGACTTCAAGAGGAAATCATTATTGCTGATGTCCATCACAACTACATGTACTTAGAAGTCTGAAAAAGCTTTTAACAGCTTTTGAGTCTCTTGATTAATCCAAATGCGTGCCCGGCTTTAAGTGGGATGTAAAGGAAAACAACTTTCTCAGGAGCTTGAAGGGTTTGTATTTAAGTGGAACTGAAGTAAGCTTTGAAATGTACAGAACCATTTTTCAGAGTGCCTTTGCCGTGGAGTACATCTGGCTTTCTTCCATAAAAGAATGGTTAAATATTGGTCTGATAAAGTTTGTCTGCCAGATGCCTTCTTTAACACCACTTAATTTGACCTTAAACAACATCTACACTTTAAACGCCACTCTGCTTCAGCCTTGCTCTCAAATCACCAAGCTAGTTTTGTCTAGCAATGCCATGACCAACTTGTCTGAGAAATCACTCAGACCATTGAACCGACTCGAGAGATTGTACTTAGATAACAACTTTCTACACAGAGTGCCAGTTGCCGTCAGAGGACTCTCCAAACTCATAGTCCTAGATTTAAGCTTCAATGATATTGGAGAGTTGCATTGTTTCGACTTTCGACTGAATCAGATATCGTTGTGTTGGGCCACGCAGGCTTAGGACAGTCAAACAATGGACTTGGGCCTGCACCTCTGTAAAAGCCTCATTTGAGTTATTCACTGAGATCACAAAGAGGCCTAAAAGGACTCTTAATCCCAGAATCCCCTGCGGTACTTCACACCTACGCGTGAAGTAAGGGGGGACCGGAACCTCTCTCTCCTTATTGGAGGGGACCTGAGGTAGACCCCCCATGGAGCAGGCCAGGCTACAAAGCTCCAAGACTTCCATTGTTCTTTCTCTTTCCACACACTAACTTCTAGTGCTCGGAGACCC